GTATTTCTTCATCCGCGAGTAACGCTGCTCGAAATCAATAATATAGTCCGCCATTGACATGTTAACTTCTTTTATGATCCGATCAAAGTCCGAGTATGCTTCATAGATCCTGTCCTTTTCCTCTTTTAAGAACAAGTCATCTAGTTTAGCAAACAACGTTGTCATACCAGTGTCTTTATTTAGATCATCTACCGGAATTTCCATCGCCGTGTCCCGCGCTCTTCCAGACAGGGCCAGGGCGACAGCCAGCGCTTGCTTTTTCGACTCCAAATCTGTAACTCTCGTCCAAATGTTGACTTCATTCTTCCAGCTTTCGTAAGGCTTTCCTTCCTCAAACGTTGGCGGAACTCTGTAGTTACTAACCATCCTCTGCTACCAATGTTAACTAAAAGAAATAACTCGTTTCTTTACTCAGCTTTATTCCGCCATGTGCATCCCCCGAACAGACATACAGAGAGCGACGAAGAAGAACACAAACCCAAAACACATGCTCCTGGCATAACAGTGCCCCTAGTGGGTGGACATGTAATACAAATAAAACAAAGGAGTAACACTCAGGATCTCCTGATTACAGACAGAATCTTTAACAAAGAATAATTATTTCAGTAACAAAAACAGTTAATGGATCTCAAGAATGACCTGCGCTGCACTGTAGTGTCACTGAAACTTTTTATTTTTACTGTTAGTTTTCCTTTAGGTTCGTCCTGTTTTTCTTTAAACAATTTACTTTTCTATTTGTATTTTCATTACCTGTATGTGTGTGTGTGTACTTGTTTTGACAACAGAGTGAGGACCATTTGTGCCATAGTTACTATCAAAGTGAGTTCTTTGATTTAAAGTGAGTACCTCTTCAATGTCCTCACTTTATTTGCAGCTCTGCTGTGCTTTCCTAGTTAGGTTTAGAGGTATGGTATGAATTAAGTTTTGGTTTAGGTTAGGGTTAACTGTAAACCAGTAATGGTTAATTTTAGGGAAAATGTCTGGGTTAGGCATAAATACAGTTACAAAAATGAATGGAAGTCAATACATTGTCCTAGTTTGATGCAAATACAAGGATGGGTGTGTGTATGTACTTGTTTTTGTTACCTATTTAGGACCATTTCCAGTATACACACCTACCTTGTCAAGACCAGTAGTCCTAATGGGGACCAAAGACCGGTCCTAATATAGTGAAACTCCATTTTTGGGTTGGGTTTAGGACTAAGGTATGAATTGAGTAACCTGTGAGGTTAGCCTTAGGGTTTGTGGTCAGGGTTAGGCTGTAGAAATTACTGGAAATGAATGGAAGTCAATGAACGTCCTAATAAGGATAGAAATACAAACCTGTGTGTGTGTGCCCTTGTTTTTGCTACTTGGTGGGSATGATTTTTTTAGGAAAACGCAGCCACGTGGACCAAAGTATCTTAGATGAAAACGTTGTGCAAGGCAGAGGGCAATCCCTTCAAAGGTTGCTGCTTTAAATACACTTTACAAATCATTCTATAAGTTAATACATTTATGGTTATTTTTTTAATTTTATCAGCAAATAAAAGTACTTTAGTGCAGAAAGTTGATCATTTATAAAAGTTTAAATCAAACTGTTCTGTTATATTTGTCTCTGCTTCAATATTCAGGAGTTTTCCATCACCATCTGGTTCTGCGGTGAACTCCAAACTCCTGATCTGGACTTTATAAATATATTTCCAGACGTAAAGGTCAAAGCAGAGTCGGATTTGCTCATACATAAAATAATGCACTTCATGGCAATGGCTGCCAGTGGAAGTCACAGTGAGAAAAATCTCAAGCGTTCAACACAGGTTTGACAAAACAGACTCGCTGCTTCTCTCAAAAAGCTCGTGTCTCTTGACCTAATTTCTCAAACAGCTGCAGATCCGGTCCGGGCTAATCAGTCCAAACAAGTCATATGCTGAGTATAAACTACTGTGTGTTTTTACTTTGCCAAGGTCTAAAAGAAGAGTAAAACCATCAGCTGTTATGAAACAAATTTAAATCCAGGAATCATGACCTGAAACTTCCATAACAAAAACCTTCTGGTTGTCTTGAGATGTTTAAAAATAATGATACAATTAAAACCCAATAATACAAGCTGTAGAGGATGAAGGTTAACCTCTGAATCTGATAGAAACTCTACTTAAAATCCTATGTGCTGACGTTGAACCCTCTCCTCTGCTCAGCAACACATTAAAATTGTTGATGACACTGTCATCACTGAGCTCGTCTCAAGAGATGATGATTAAACAACACAGGCCAACATCCTGTCTTCAATAATGGAGCTTGTCTTCAACAAGTGTCAACAACAGCAGCAAAATAAGCTGTTTGGTGTTGAAGATTTGGCAAACTGTTCATGTGTGCAACCCACATACTCGGCTCTACTGCTCATCCCACAAATGCATATTCCTTACAAATGTGGCCCCATCATAAATGTCCTTACTTCTTGTGCTAAGTATATTTGAATGGTCACTATCAACAGGCTCTACAAAGCTGCAAAAGAAAAACAAACCACCAAATGGAAAAATAATTTGTTTTGCATCAGCTCAATAAATAAGATAAAATTTTGAATTGTTTACAGTGGGCTTACTGCTGTCATTTGTACAAATATGCTGCATTATTGTTACCACTAGCACGAAATAAAAATACTATTTGTTATTTGACAAAAAATAAGAGAACTGTTTATGTAATTTTCTGTGCAGTACACAAAGTACTTGATTTATCGTCTGAATATTTTTCCCCTCATTTACCCACCAGCGTGGCTGATGACCAGGTCAGACTGTCTCATGTCCTCTACTATCGAGTCTTTGAATCGGAAAGCCTCCAGTTTGAGTTGAGAACAGCTGTCAGCAGCTGGAAGCACCGCCCCTCTTCCGACCTGCAGAACCAAACGCTCATATCCACGAGTCTTTAACTCCTAATGGAGAAACGGGACAGACTAATAGGACAAATCTGGTGGGTTTTTTTAATTTATTTTTAGTCATTCTTCATTACCTGTCTACTTTACTTACCTGAATGACCTCAGCGGATGTGACGTGTTCGATTAGTTCGTCAAAGCTCGTGGTCCCGACAGTCACAAACACCGTCTTCATGATTGTTGCTCTTTAATTATATTTTTCTGTCAGTTTGGAATGTTTATTCACCTTTCAACATCCTCGTCTTCGTGTTGGACATTATACGCCGCCCGCCGGCTGATTCAGCTTCCTGATATGACGTCACAGCGTCAATAAGCGTAACAAATCGAAAACATTAACAGCGCCACCTGCAGGCAAGGGGGTGTTTCTGCAGCTGCTAAAAAAACACTGCCTGATGGAATCACCGGTTTTCAATTGAAACTATTCAGAATACTCAAAAATTGTCACTCCCTCAGAGAGCTGTAACATTCACGATAATTAACTAGTTATATAAAAAAGACGGCTAATCAGAAGTTTCAGCAAAAGAAAATCCGCCTTTTTAATTAGCAAAATAACTACATCCCATTTTTGTTTTGAGAGTCTTTAATTTCACCAAGCGTATTTAAAACTAGGTTTGTTCTCATACAAACCAGAAAATTGTTTTTCAAAAATGTTTAGGAACCAGAAAATCCGATAACAGCAAACATTTTAGTAGTTGCACTGCAAAACAGAAATATGTTTAAATACAGTATATATTTATTTAAAGGACAAAAACATGAGTTGTAGTGTAAAATGAGCTGTGATGTTTTCATCAAATGTGTTAAAATATTCATTTTTTTCCAATGTTTTTGAGTTGAATTTGTTTGTACAGGTAATTCAAAAGTAAAGTACAATGATACGTATTTTATCTTAAATTAACAATAAACATATTTATTTTTAGAAAATTTCAATAAACAGTATAGCCTCTGTATTACACTAATTTAATCAAATATGTGTCATACAAAGCTGTATACCAGTTCAGACATTTCACATCCAGTCATTCTGATACCTGAGACAGAAAAATGACCAGCCTTGAAACTATCAAAACCTCTGACCTCTTTTTGAACTCTTATATAACAGAGCTGCTGTTGTCTTTAAATCAAGCAGTTCTGACAAAGAGCTGTCTGTGTTCCTGGTTCAAGGTGAAAATTGCTGAATAAACCTGGAGGTTCACCATCTTCAAAATAGAAAGCCTTCTCATGTTGGGTGTTTCTTCTCCTTCTACCCTCAGCAACTTTAGTTTTTTATTTCAGCCTTCTTTTCTTTTGGGCTCAGGGGAGTCTTGGTTACGTTATGTTTGTTGGTGAATGTCCTACTTTTTATTTCTTAAAGTTACAACTATTGCACAAGAGGAAAAGGGACAGGCTTTAGGTCTCATTTCAAATATTAAGAATATATCTTGTCTGTTATCCAGTCAACTCTCATAAACCTCATTTTATTCACAACTGACTTGGTTCGTAATCCCTCACAGACTGTTTGTATAGATGCTCCCTCTGTTCTTTGTGAAAACCTTCTTCACTTTTTCATGAAATCAAAACTATAAGAGACCAGATTTTACCTTCTGCTCAAGAACCCTGCATTTGTGTCCCTGCCTTGACAGGTTTGAACCTGTGACTCGGTCTTCTCTTCAGGAAATTATCTCTTCTGAAACCATCAGGTTCCCCAAATGATGCTGTCCCTTCTCGGCTTTTTAAAGAGGTTTTCTGCACCCTGGGATCTTTTTGTTTTGAACTTGCAAATAGTCTGTCCTCTGGTGTGGTCTCTGATCATTGCAGTGGTGCAACGTCTCATTAAAAAAACCTGGACCACTAACTTAGCTAATTTTAGGCCAATTTTCAAACTGTCTTTTTTCCCCCAAAGTCCTTGAGAAAATTGTGCACAGTCAATTAATTGGTTTACTTGAAGAGCATAATATCCTCAAGGTTTTCCAATCCAGTTTTAAAACCCTCCACAGTACTGAATCAGCTGTTTTAAACGTTTTTATTGCTATTCTTTTAGCTGCTGACTGGTGATTGTGTCGTCCTTGTGCTTTTAGATCTAAAAGCTGCTTTTGACACTGGACCATGACATTCTGTTAATCTGGACCAGTGGGTGGGAATCAAGTCAAGTTATCTTTAATATCCCCATGGGGCAATTTGTGTCACAGTCAGCAGGAACAAAAACAATCATCAGCCACAAATACAGTAAAAAAAACAACATAAAAACCATCATGGTATAGGCTTAAAAACTACAAACACACAACAATCAACGAGAAGTATTTAAAATGACAATAACAGCAGGTAAACAGGAATTCTTAAATCTGTTGGTCCGACATCTTTTTACAGCAAATCTGCATCCTGATGGTAAAAGAGAAAACTCTGTGAAGACGGAGTGGTTAGGCTCAGCTAAAATTGCCTGAGCTTTCTTCAAGGATCTGCTGCTATGGAGAGTAGTGATGTTATTTAATGGGACATTAGCAATTTTACTGCAAAGACTGACAATACGGTGTATGCGTTTTTTGTTTTTCTGTGTCTATAGCCCATACCAGCAAATAAAATATAAAGTAAGAACAGATTCAATAAAACAGCAATAAAACATTCTCATAAAACTACAGTCCATGTTAAAACTCCTTAATTTCCGATAAAAGTGCAGACGTTGATGGGCTTTCTTGCATACAGTGTCCACATGTTTGTCAGATATTTATATTCCTCCACATCAACTTGTTGATCATTAATGTACACAGGAGATATGGCATTTTTGTTTTTCCTTTAGTCAATAATCATTTCTTTGGTTTTGTTGATGTTTATGTCTAGAAAGGATGACTTACACCAGTTAATAAAATGTGACACCACTGGGCCATGATCAGGGTTGTCTGACTTTAAAAGAGACACGACAGAATCGTCAGCAAACTTTAAAATATTCCGTCCTGCGAAACGGCTCTGACACATGTATAAAACAAATAAAAGGGGGGACAGAACACAACCCTGTGGAGAACCAGTGGAAGAGAGCAAAGCATCAGATAAAACATCATTGACTCTGACACGTTGAGATCTGGTGGTTAAAAAACCCATTAGCCAACATATGAGACCTGATTTAATTTTATGTATACTTTTTAACCTGTCTGCTAGAATATGTGGCTGTATGCAGTTAAAAGCTGAAGAAAAAATAATAAAAAAAAGACGTGCAAAAGTATTAGCTGCCTCAAGGTGTGAAAGAACCAAGTTCAGTAAAGTGCGTCATCCACCCCTCTGCAGGGCCTGTAGGCAAATTGCAGTGGGTCCAAGCCGGTTTTAACAGTAAAGAGGGCTGTCTTAATTACTTTCTCAACTTCATAACTACGGCTGTAAGGGCTACAGGCCTGTAGTCATTCAGCTGTTTAGGAACTCTGTTTTTAGGTATTGGGACAATGATGGACTTTTCCATAAACATGGGACCTTATTGAGGTAGAAGGAGTATCTGAAAATATAACAAAAAGTATCAGATAACTGCTCCGCATAGTTCTTAAGTAAGCAGCCACCAATACCATCAGGACCCGGACTTTTCCCTTCCTTCACACCACGGAAAAGTTTCTGGACCGTGCCCTCATCCACCTGGACAGAATTTTGTCCTGCTATTGTATCTTTAAAATGGGATTGCTCTGAAGTAAAATCGTGAACATTAAAACGGTTAAAAAAGGTATTTAGATCATTTGAGAACTCATAATCAGACATTTTGCCAGAGGATATTGAACATTTCCCAGATTTCATACCCATCATGGATTTTACCCCCTCCCATACTGGGCGGGAGTGACCAGCACAAAGGAGCCTCTCTACTCTGTCTTTGTAGCTACATTTGGCAAGCTGAAGTTCTTTTTTGACTTGTTTCTGTAGTTCTCTGTACTTGGTAGTGTCCCCTCGTTGGAAACAAATATTGCGCTGATTAATGATGTTTTTAACAGATTTAGAGATCCGTGGTTTGTTGTTCGGAAAAAAGGAAACTTGTTTAAGTGGAATGACCATTTCTTGACAAAAGGTGATATATGCTGACACTGTCTCTGTTAGGTCATCCAAGTCAGGGGTGTTACCTTAAATTGGTTCAGGTCTTACCTGTCCAACTGAACATTCTGTTAGTCTTGATGGGTCAACGCCTCCCTCTTCTACTCTTTTTTTCTTTTTTGTGGAGGCCCTCAAGGCTCAATTTTAGGCCCGCCTTTGTTTTCTCTCTGCTCCCAGTTCTATTCTCTGAAAGCATATTTCATTTCATTGTTACGCAGATGACAGATCTATGACCCTCTCAAAAAGTCAAATGCATATTCAATAGACTCACTTCTTAGGTGTCTTGAAGACCAGAAGGCCTGAATGGCACTGAATTTTTTTTTTTAGTTTTAATGAAACCAAGACCGAGGTTATGGTTTCTGGAGGTACTGCTGGCCACTCCCAAGAACTAGGTTCCTTTACTCAGTACAATAAATTGTTAGTGAAGAGTTTTAGAGTTGAAGTAGACCCTGAACTTAAATTAGACCAGTTGTTAGTTTTTATCATTTGAGGCAGCTAAATAAAACCCATCATTCCAAAAAGACATTTTGTGACAGTAATCCATGCCTTTATCACCACCCGACTGTAATGCACATTATCTGAGGGTTAGTGGGTCCTCCGTTGCCCGACTGCAGAGGGTCCATGCTGCAGCGAGGCTTTTAACTGGCGTGTAAATATGAGCACACTGCTCTCATTTTAGCTTCACTCCACTGGCTGCCTGTGCCTTTTAGGATCCGTTTTAAAATACTTGTTTTTAAATCTTTGAATGGCTTTGTCCCACTGTACCTGTCTGTACTGCTGTGGTCCCTCAGATCAGCTGCTCCTGAGGGTCCCTAAAATCAGACTCAAACTCAAGACGGAATTGATCTTTTGCTGCAGCAGCTCCTAAATTTTGGAATGAGCTACCCGTCCAACTCAGACAGTCCTCTTCACTGACTGTTTTTAAAACCCACCTGTTTTCTTTGACTGTGAGGGGTTGTTGTCCATTTTTACCAGATTTTACTTTTTGTAGAAACTTTGATTTTATTGTAGATTTCAAATTAGGTTTTAGGCATTTTACAGTTTTTATTTCCTGCTTTTATTTTTCGTGTTTTTTGATTGAAAGTTTTTTTTGCATGAGCTGTGTTTGAATGTTGATTCTGTACAGTACTTTGGTCTGCAGTAGTGCAAAAAGTGCTTTACAAATAAAGTTGGACTGGAACTATATGTTAATATTAGTCGACCTGCAACCATTTTCACTTCATATTTACTGTAAATTCACTCATCTGCTTTCTACAGATTTAATCTTTAAACACTACCAGACAACTTACAGATTTGTCTTTAACACACAGGAGAATACCTAAACAATTCCCAGCTTCAGCAGGTTTGATCAAAAATAGATCTGCTGCAGAGTTGCTTCACACCGCAGGCAGCTGACAGTCCAGACGTCTCACTGTGTGAAATGTAGCAGAAACCACAACAACAAACCAAACAAGTTTATTTACCCTCCAGGCAAATGGAGACGTGATGACACACACATACACAAATACACACCGGAGTCCCCAAACAGCTTCAGATGACTGCAGAGTGAAGATCTCTGCTCTGCAGGAAACTGCAGCAGCACAAATAAGAAAAGCCAGCATGGCTCAGCGGCTCTAAAGCATGAAAACATGACATCAGGGTTTTCTTTTAAAAACAGGTTTAGGCTTAAGGAACCATCTGTTCTTTGCTAAATATTTGCTAGAAGAACTTCTGTAGTTTTTACAAAATCAGATCCAGCCAGAAATAAGAAAACTTATTTAAAAAGGTTTAAATTGTATTTATTAATATTCCCATTTTAAATAAGCTCCATCTTATTTACCTTCATCATGTGATCTTAAGCATTGTAAAAAAAAATGCAAATCAATTTTTACAAATTTAGATTTTAATCTTAACAGAACAGGAGAAGCTAATCTGGAAACACAGATTGTTTTCCAGACATACAGAACACTAAAAACCATACTTTTACACAACATCTCTAGACCTCCTTGAGGTGACGTCTGAAAGCCCCGAGGCCTCGTGGGGGACTGAAGCCAGCCCACCCTCGATGTGTCTTTGTTCTGTGAGGCGAGGCGGTAAAAGGTGATATCAGGTCTGTGCGACCAGACGACCTTAGGATTAAACAAGATTTATTATTGATCAGCGATGACACACAGAAGTTTTGTATTTAGTTTAAAAATACTTGATCACAAAGAGAATCATTAAACTGAGATAGTTAATTATGGAGGAGGAAGACGTTTGTCACTCACCAGGTCAAAATAAGGACATTTGCATGTTTGGTAGATTATTTCATTGTTGTAACAATGCTTCTTGGCAATAAATATACTGTTGGAAAGCCTGTTAATTTGCCTTTTAAATGGCGCCACATTTGTAAGGAACAGGCATTTGTGGGATGAGCAGTAGAGCTGAGTATGTGGGTTGCACACATAAATCTACCAAACCTTTATTTCCTTAAGTTTTGTGCCAAGTTTAGTTTAAACTTTAAATGAGGCACAAGTATGAGTCTAGGCACTAAATAACTTTAAAAATCCTAAATATGAAACAGAATATTTTAAAGTATTTAATTAGTCAAGTGGACAGAAATACTTTTAATAATAGTTTTAAAGAATTAAACAGGAACCTCTTTTCCTGCAGAGTAATAGTTTGGTGGCACAGAGGAAGATTTTGTTTTGACAAAATCATGTGTAGCAAAAAAGTCAGATAAAGCCCGAGTATGACTCAAAGATACTTTATGCGTCTCATCACAAAAGAACAGAAGTTCCAGCATGTTTACTTTAATGATGACAGTCATTTATCTTCCAAAAGGAAAACTAAAATGAAATAAAAGACAAATGACACTAGGTTGCAAGGGAAATATTTAAGGCTCTGTCAAATTCTCAGCTTGAAAATAGAAAAAAAACCAAAACAAATGGAGATCCCCAAAAACCACAAAAAAGTAGAAGCTAATATAAAATTAAGTTGAAAACAAGCTAATCATGTCACTTTTAATAAATAGGTTACATTATTATTGAAAAAAAATCTGATTAATTGTGCCAGAACCTTTAATCAAACCATATAGCAAGAAAATCAGCATCACCTGAATTCAAAGCAACACATTATGCTGTGAAACACAAATACAGAGTGTTAGCTTACTTTGGTCGTTCCAAACCTACATACTCCTCCATAAAACCTAAAATGGAAGACCGGCGTCCACGTGAGTCTTGCCTTTTAGAGACTAGGTCAGAATTCTGGCTAAAAACTAGAAAACAAAATGGCTCATCTTCATCTCTTTAACTGGGTTTAAACATTTTCAATGCAGCACGTTTTCAGACACCCTCAGCTGCTTCAGGTCACTCAGTTATTAAAAAGTTTTATTATCATTTGCAGTAAATATTTCTGGTTTAATCCATAGTTACACAATATTAGAAACAAACAAAAAAATAATAATATCCAACATATACTGCAGTGAATTGAGTCAGATACTTACCAAAATAAGGTGAACTGAATACCTGAGCAGCACACTAGTTTAAGTATGCATGCCTAAAAGTCAAAATGTTCCAATACTATGAAATGCTTTATCAAATTCCAAATTTCAGACATGATACAAGTAATATTAAAGAATATAATACTGAGTGAAGCAGCTTTAAAAAGATGCTGCAGCCTCACAAAACACTCCTGCTGTCAGGAGAACTCCCATCTATAAATGACAAAAGAAAAAAAAGACTAAAACACAGAGTCAGTCTGTCCGACTGCTTCCAGGCTCATCGTAAAAGGCCGTCGAAGGTTGCAGCAGAAGCATCTTCCAATTGTTACAATATCAAAAATAAGAGCAGTGTCTGTTTTCTGTCACTCTGAGAGTCAGAAACGTTACCTGATGTAAAAAGTTTTTAATCGGACTAGTTGAGTCAGGTTGTCCTTGGGTTCTTCAAAACTTCGCTCGCGATCCAGGAAAAATATCCCTGAACAAAAACACAGAAACGTACAGTTTCAGAACATGAAAAGGTAAAAGTCAGCGAGCAGCGGCTAACGGAGGAAGCATCTCGACCAGAAACGAGTTAACTTCCTGTTTGGCAGCCTGATTTCTCTCTCAGGATGTGACATTTTCCTCTTTCTGTTCAGCTCGTGGGACTTTCTGCTCGGTCGCTCTCGGGGGTCTATTTTAGCTCCCGGATGCGAGCGAGCTGCTCAGACTGCAGAGTCCTCCAATAAAGCTCAAGCTAAGGCAAACTGTCTGCAGCGCCTCCCACTCCATTTTCTCACTTCCAGATTTATCTCTCCATTCCCCCCGCTGCACAGAAACGCCTCACATTCATCTGTGTCACTCTTCTCTCAGGCTCCTGGAGTAGAGCCGTTTATTGGCAACAATTTGGTGACATGATATCATGACACAATATATCGCAATACTGTAAGCAAGATGTTATTTTTTCCTCAAAATAAATTCACATTTTTAAATTTTCAGCATGTTTTGTATGTTTGATGCTGCGTTCACACTGAATGCAATTTGAGCGTCAAAAACATATCCAACGCTTCAAGTTGGACACCTGTGCACGTTGAGGTCAGACGCTCATCAAAATTGCTCAGGACGCTCAAAATACTTCAACACTGTTACCTTCTGTTGTTATGTTCAATAAAACTTTTTAAAACAAAAAAAAAAAATAACTACAACATGTGAATTTCATCAAGGCTGAAACTACGGGACCATCAGCAAGTCTACCTCAGCTTTGAAGGTCTAATCTGCTCAGATTCAGCCATCGGTACTTAGTGCTAATATTTACTCACAAAGCTAACGTTTGAGCTAGTGTTGTGATCAGAGGCATGACGCCAGCGTGAAAGTTTACATTTTAAGTCTTAATTAAATATGGGCATCATTCTTTTTAGAGAACCCATACAGTATAAGGAAATGAAATACCACGATTTTTTCTAATACTCTTACTATACAGTTTTGTGTTTTTATACACACAGGGACATTTTATTGCATTTTTGGATAATTGACGGTTGACACAATCGGTCCTACCTCATCCTCACTGCACCACGCAGGCCGTGCAGCACTGCTCCTGCTTCTCCGGCAGCGTGGAGTAGTTCATCTGTCGCACAATCTCGGCAAACAGCTCGTCCACCATGGTCTTGCTCTTGGCAGAGGTCTCGATGAATGGGCAGCCCCACTCCTGAGCCAGAGCTCGCCCGTCCGACCCGGCCACCTCGCGCTCCGACTCCAGGTCCACCTTGTTGCCGACCAGGATCAATGGCACCTTCTCGAAACGCTTCACTCGCACTATTTGGTCTCGCATCGGCCTGATATCCTGAAAGACGGACAGACAGACAAACATGAGACCACAGGAACTCTCTACGGGTCAGATGAGGCAAGATATGTAGGACTGAAGACCTTAGTCCCACAGTTTTAGTATTAACACTTTCATTTAGCTCCATCTTTCTTGAATCCACTGCAGCAAGAAACTGTCCAGTGTGATCCCACTGGGACATTTGAAGCATATTTTTTTAAACAAATGGGAAAAAAAATCATCTCAAATCTGTTCTTGTTTTCAGGTTTTGTTTAATTTTGCTCCATTTTAAATGGAAACGTTTTATGCTTATGTGTTGTTTAAAGTCTCTTTTGTAAACTAGATTACCTGTCAAAATAAAAGTACATAAAATAAAATGGTCACCACAGTCATTTCACTGTAGAAAATAAACTGCTGCAATTCAGTTGTTTTTACAGATTTTTTTAATTTTTGCTAAGAACTAGTGGAGTTGTAAAGAGAGAGATTTCTTTATAAAACTAATAATGTCGGAGTCAACCCTGTTTGTCTGTTAGCAAAGTATCTCGTGAACCAGTGGACAGATTTTAGTTAAACTTTTAGGAAATAAGCAGTGGACGTGACGTTAAAGCTAAAAGAACTGTTGGAGTTGATCTGATTCAAAATGGCCACATAAGCATTTGCAGACAAAAAACTTCAGTCGGTTTTATGACTGTGAATAAAATGACTCGTTTTGACCAAAACAGTTTTTCAGTTTAAAGCTCTGTCAGGAAAGACAGTGGGTGAAATGCATTCCTGTAAATTATGCTTTGACTATTTAATTGTTTTCAGATTTTGTGGAACTTCATTTTGGCACATATTCAAAGAAAAATCAGTGTTAGTAACATTGAAACTAAAGTGGGTTTTTTAAATGGGTTTTTAGTTATTTTCTGTTTTACTTTTTAAAAGCTGAGTGGAAGTTTTAAGCTGTGTGCCATATTTAAAATAAAATAACTACACATTTTTACTTGTATAACTTATTTTGACGTCACTTAAGTATAGAATGCACATATTTAATTCAGACATTTGCTTATCTAAAACGTTTAATCTGACTTTGGGGAGTTTAAAACTTCAAATAGCAGGGTTTTTTTTTTTGTATTTTTCCCACCTGGAAGGACTGCTGGTTGACCAGGCTGTAGACCAGGATAAAGCCCTGTCCGTTCTTGATGTACAGGTCCCTCATGGAGGCGAACTGCTCCGTCCCCGCCGTGTCCAGGATCTCCAGCACCGAGGGCGACGAGTCCACCTCGATCTCCTTCCGGTAGAAGTCCTCGATGGTGGGGTCGTACTTCTCGATGAAGGTGCCGGTGACGAACTGCACGGTGAGCGCGGACTTCCCGACGCCGCCGCTGCCCAGAACGACAACTTTGTATTCTTTCATTGGGACGTTGGAGGCCGGCTAACTCAGCAGGAGCAGCGGCTATACTTCCTCCATAAACACCCGTAAGGCCTTCAAAAAAAAAAGCTAGCAAGAAAACGGGAAACACCTAAGCCACATAAAACATGTCCCGCTCATTCAAATAAACCAGTTTTTCACACCCATACTTTCTTCTCTGACCGTGTTTCGGCTTGTTTAGTTAGCACTAAAGCTACTTCCAGTCTGGCTCATTTCCAGCTGTTCCATATCGTAGCTGCAAGCCTTCGCCACCAGAGCAAAGAGCACTGAAAGTCGGATTGAACTCACCCGAGAACTCGCTGTCTATCTACCGACAACAAGTCACGGTGATCCACAATCAGCCCCCCCTAAAGACACCATGCCCACCCCGCGTCTCTCGCTCACACACCAACCCGCTGGTTGGGTGTCGCAGCGCTGCTTGCTATGTATGTCCGACTCTGGGCCTGGTTCTGGTTCCGGCCCCGCAGCCTCGGCACTCGAGCGTCCTATTGACGCTGGTTCGGTGCTGTAATTCAACGGTCCATTAGGTACGGTTTTCTGCTGCTCCGGCGTAACGCGAACAGCAGGTTTTCCAGCAAAAAGAAAATCTTTTTCTCCCCAATTGACTTCCGGAAGCTAACAGGCTGCTTCCGCATCCTCACAGTTTTTCACAATAAAAGCCCCTAAAGGCCAGAGGCCAATTTCACAACAAAACCAAAAT